ACATGTGTTTAGTCTCTTATATAACATCACGACAACGAGGCCCAAGTCATGAGCTGACTCTCCTGCAGATCAGCAGGTTTAACTGTTTCATGCTCACGGTTTGGTGCCAGCTAGGCAGCCAGGGTAGAAAGACAGACATAAATTCACTGTGTACTGTGGGAGCGGGGTGGAAACAGCAGTTGCTCAAAGTCCTATTGGCCTGTTTGGTTCATAGCAATGATGAGTGGTACCATTTCCACCTATGATTTATCAGTACATTTTGTGATTTTTCTGCTAATATTTTTTTCTGTGTACAAAGCCAGACTAGTTGTAAAATCTACCCTTTTGCACCAGTTAGTCTCATTTGTACGGCGTCTCTGTTACTACATCACTTACTATTTTAACAGTTTAAACAAAGCATTTGTAAAACCTGATTGATTCTTGGAAGTCTACATGCCCGCATTCCCATGGGAACTGAATGAAGCTCCTGTATCTGTAGGCGACAGGCAAAGACCGTCGTGACATGTTGAATTGAAAATGCCTATTAGTGCTGAGAACAGTAAAGAAGTTCAGAGTAGTAATCCTTTTAATTCTGGGAATATTAATTTAAGGTCCCACTCTCCCCCTTTTCACATTTGCTTTTATTTTGGGTCAGAGTGTAAAAAGGAAAAGATTATAGCCTCAGGCTCTGCCTTGATCCTCAGGGATCAAGCCGGGACAGTCCTGCAATTGCGTATCTGTATCTGTAAAAAGCTGGGTTTGAGCATTTAGGAAACTAATCTCAAATGTATTCCTATGTCTTAAATGGGGTAACAAATGTGTACTTCATGGGTAGGAAAAAATACTTTATTATAATTATTTGATCTTGAGCTGTTTGCTTTCCTGTGACTGGTCACAGCTGTGACGGTGCTGTCGTAGGTTTTGGAGTCAGGATCCACAGGGCAGCAGGATAAAAGCATCTTGGCTTTAGAGCCGATGGGCCTGAGTTTAATTCTGAGTCTGTGATTTAACCAGCTGTGTCACTTGAACCTCTCTGAGCCTCCGTCTCCTGATCTGTCAAGTCACAGCTCGTCTCTCTCGGGGCGGCTGTAACTAACCAAGGTAATGGGCTTTCTTGGCGGCTCAGGTGGTGAAGAATCCACCTGCAATGCAGAGGACCCAGGCTTGATCCTGGGCTCAGGACAATCCTCTGGAGGAGGGAATGACAACCCACTCCAGTATTCTTGCCTGAACAATCCCATCGTCAGAGCAGCCCGGCGACTTTTACCTTGTGGACTTTCTGGTGGTCCAGTGGTGAAGACTCTCTCCCAACACAGGGAGCCCAGGTTCGATCCCTGGCCAGGGAACTAGAGCCCACACGCTGCAACTAAGACCCAGTGCAACTGAATAAATATTTTGGGGCTTCCCTGGTGGCTCAGATAGTGAAGAGTCTGCCTGCAATGTGGGAGACCCGAGATCAACCCCTGGATCAGGAAGACCTCCCGGAGAAGGGAACCCACTCTAGTATTCTTGCCTGGAGAATCCCATGGACAGAGGAGCCTGGCAGGCTATAGTCCATGGGGTCCCAAAGAACAACTAACACTTTGACTTTCAAGATAACATATCTAACACACCTGACACAGTGTCCGACAGGAAGTTGAACATGTTGCCAGCTGATGGGTTCTTATTATAAACCTACACTTGAGACCACCCTGCCTTATGAGTTGAGTGATGGTGGCAATCTCTGACCTCCTCCGGTAGGCTCTCGTTTCCCCCCGCCCCCCAAAAAATGATTTTAAGTATAACTTGTATTCTTTTAAAAACTAAAGCAAAACCAAACAGCCATTTTAGTGGTTTTCACATTTGGAGACAAATCAAAATTTTCCAGGAGACCGCTCGGGCTAGAGCAGGAACAATTCCGTCTCCCTCCCTGAGGGGTATTGCAGTGAAGTTGACGGAAGAGGAAGACTCTTGATTGCCTGGGTTGAGTGTTGGAGCTGGGCTGTCCTGTGAGCTGTCTTCCCCAGGACCTTCATTCTGCTGGGAACCTTGAGTGCAGCCACAGACTTCAAGGCGGACTGCTTCCTGAAGTTTGTAATCTTGTCTGGACAACCTAAACGCTGGATAGTATTTGCTTTGCTGTTGCATTTCTCCCATAAAATGATTGAGACCATCCTTGAAAGTAGTGGAATGGACACCTGCAGGTCAAAAACCACTCTTAGGAAAGTTTTTTGTTATTCTTCTAGGACAACGAATAAATATTGTCATTTCAGTTTTTTATTTAGAAGGTGGAGAAGAAGATCCCTTTGTCTTCCTTCAGTAGTACTTTTATTAAACTCCGTGGTGACGATCAGAAGCTGTTAGCTATATTTGAGTGAGGAATATTTTCTGAATGAAATCTGTCATTTGCCCCAGACATTGATTTTCATTTTCTCTTTCAAAAGGTAGTTTCAACTATACTTTGTGTGGATGTTGCTTTTGTGAGTACCAGCCTGATTCTCGAGAAGGAACTAAAATAGATTTGAAAATATTTCAGATATGTTTATGTATGATAATTGACCTGTGTTTATTAATCATCTGATTAAAGAAAAATAATTAGGAAGTAAAAAATTCTTTAATCCAGAAAAAAGCTTACCAATTATAGAAGGTTATGGAAATACATTAACCAGTTTGTATCCACTGTTTATTTCAAGGCATTTTCTTTCCTCTCCACATCTTGCCCTCTCTGTAGAAGCTGGAGTAGAGGGATCTGGGATTTTAAACCTTGTGGGCCAAGAATTCTTTATAAGAAGGAAGATTGAAGTAGGAAGAAGGGAATCTAAATTTTCATCATAGACTTGCTGCCAACTAACATTTGACTTGGGCAAGGAACTTCATTTCATGGGTCTGGGCTTCCTTGAATGTAAAATAATGCTGATTGAGATGCTTTCCGAGACCCATTCAGCTCATTTTCTTCTTTTATTCCAAATGCCTATGTCACAGGTTAACATGACTTTAAATAAACCCCGTATCTGAAACTTCTACATTTCTCTAAGCTGCAAATCAAAATGCATTAATTAAATCTCCCAGCCTTTAGAGGGAAAGATTTCTGAAGATTTATCTGTTGCTGTTTTTTTTCCAGCAGGCATTTGCTAACCATTTAGTATATTTCCAGCCCTAGGCTGGGCAGTATAAGTAAATAAAAAGCAGAAGGATTCCTAGATGCAGTTGACAGTTGAACTGAAAACACCTTAAATAATTATCACGCAAAAGTGAACTAGTTATAAAAATTATTATAAAATATAATTAAAGCAGCTGATATTTATTAAGCACTTTTTTTCTGCTGGCACCAGCATCATTTAAACCTTGCCCCTAATCCTGTGAGACCAATGATGTCATCAACCCAGTTTTATAGAGAAAACTGAGGTACCAGGAGGGTAGTGAATTGTCTGAAGTTACTCTGCCATGCCAAGGATTTAGATAGGATGTCTTCCTTGCCTTAGCACCCCTGGGTCCCCTCTTAGGTAAATAAGTTTGTTGTTTAGTTGTGAGTCTGTGGACTGTAGCCTATCAAACTCCTCTGTCCATGGGTTTTCCCAGGCAAGAATACTGGAGTGGGTTGCCATTTCCTTCTCCAGGGGATCTTCTCGACCCATGGATCAAACCTGTGTATCTTGAGTCTCCTGCGTTGATAGGCAAATTCTTTACCAATGAGCCACAAGGGAAGTCCATAGTAAGTTTAGGGATTGAGAAAAAGTAAGAGAGTAGGCTGGGGGCGGGAGGATGGCTACAGACTTTCTAAGCCAACTTTGATTGAAAGGCAGAAACAAATGGAACAAAGATTATTTTCTTAGTGTGGAGTTTGACATTTTTAATGTCATTTATTGTATATTTAGGTTTTCTTGCACACAGCATGAATTTTAGGCAGCCTAGAAATGGAGAGTCTCATAAAATGAGAGAGATGATTTCAGGAGAAAACAGTAATCACATGATTGTGTGCTTTGGAGAAATCAGTCCAAAAAAGAGCTAGAATTGGGTCAAGTGTTGGAAATTGCTCAGCCCTGCCGGTAAGGAGTTGCCCAGAGTGGTAGGAATTGGGGGGAGTTTGCTGGATATATTCAACGCAGCTTTTTGCCCATTGGAGGATTGTAGTGTCTCGTTTGTGTCCCTTCAGCATGACCTGCAGAAGTGATATTTCAGATTGTGGTTTCTGTGAGAACAGGCAGAGTTCTCCCCTGCCTGTCTTCAGTGGAGAGTCTCGGGGACATGGCCAGGCTAGTCCTCGTGACAGGTAACTCTAAGCCTGCACTTATACAGACTTTGGGGTCTTAAGCGTGTCAGGGAAGCTGGGATGTGTTACCAAGTGTGAAGTGAGCTGGAGGGTACCAGCCAAGCCTTCATTCTTCCAGGGGCTCACAAACATTGTTACGATGGAAAATCTGGTCCCCCAAAGAAGCAAAAGCGGTCTCACCTGGAGCCCCTTTCCCCAACTAGGGAGTCCACTGCTGCCTGCACAAGCAGAACGACATATCTCCTCCCCTCCTGCTGCTCCTGCCGCTGCGAGGGAGAGGGAGCTGCCCGGCGGCCGGGCGGCCTCGCCTCCTCGCGCTGTAACCCTCTGCTGGCGAGCTCCCAGGACCAGCATCCCAGCCGGCTGGCTGCCGCCGCTCCACCGGGAAGATGGAGCCGCTCCCAGCCCTCCTCGATTAGGATATGTCAGGGTTGTCAGGGCAACTGTTCACGGCAGCATCTCCTGCTTCCCCTTCTGTGCTGCGTGCTGAGTATTTTCTGTGTGGTAGCGGGAGGAAGGCTGGGAAAAGGTGCCGAGCAGGAGGGAGAAGCTGGGATCTGACTGAGCAGGTTAGGCAGCGGAGAGAAGCGTTGGCCCCTGCGTGCCTTTCGCAGGGCTTTTCTGCAAGGAGAGAGTGGGGGTGTGTGGGCGTGGGTATGGGTGTGTGAGCTGCGAGCTTGAGCCAGCACACGTGCCTGTGAGGAGTAAGTGGAAGGGGGCTGGAAGGGGAGGGGGCGCTGCTAGGTGAGGGGGAACTGCAGGGCCTCAGTTGCCAGGAGGCTGGTAGTATCTGTCAGCTGTTTGCACACTGTTTCCCCATAGGGGATCTATTACAAGTGCTCAAATGAACCGGCAGCTTAGAAACTAGCGGCTTCCTGGAGCTGCAATTATATAAGCATATACTTTGGGTATACTAGTAATTAAAAAACAAGTCGCAGCGGTATGCCTGGATCAGCTACAGCTCTCCGACAAGAGAGACTGAAGAAGACCCATGCAAGGCCAGTCCCGCTTGGTCTATTCACCATTAATGAGGAAGATGAGCAGCAGAAGAATGGACATTCCAGAAGACCAAAAGGTATGCCTCAGCCCTACCCTGTGGTCAGAGCCAGACCAGCCCCCCGTTTCCCACACTCCCTCCAGCACTCCTATCAACTAGACTCCGGTGCACGCTGTGTGAAGTGATGGTGACCTGCTGGCACAGTTCACGGGTTGTATTTACACACTCTGTAGGGCTGTGTGTGTCTGAAAGGGAGAACAGATTTTTGCAGATTGGGTAGATTTCAGATCAGCTGCCTACTTGACTCAAGATGCTTTCTGGGCCTAGAGAGCTTTACTCTTCACCTGCTTGCTTAAACAGTCATGAGTGACTGTGCTCATCAAGAGGAGGGGATGTGAGTTCTCAAGGTTAAAATGAATAGCTCCCCGCCTCCCGTAGGTGCATCAGGCGATTTTCTCCTTGAGAGAGAGGAGTTGGATCGAGTGACCCGAGTGCAGCCTTTCCATGGGCAGAGGGTCAAGCTGTTACTTGCTTTTCTATTTTGGAGTGCTGAGAGAGGAGGAAATCAAACACCAAGCAAGACTGTGGGAGGCAAGGCTGGGGAGCAGGGAGGAGACCCTGAGGTTTTATAACTTCTGATGGCAACTCTGCTGCATCTGAGTAGAGGTTGAAATGTGCCGGTATGGAAAGGAGAGGACCAGTTCTTGTGCTTCCCTTCATCAGGATGAAATGGGGCCGCAGCTCGCCGGCTTCTTCCATCCCAAGCACTGCATCATCTTTAGCGCTGTCTCACGGCCGCCGTCCTGGGCCTGCAGTCACCATTCAGACAGCAACACCATGCATTTTTGAAGCAGGACTTTAAGGCTTACATTTTCCAGTATCATTCTTGCAGCACCCCCTTCCCACACATAGATGAGCTATTAAGCTGATCGGCTATCAGTTTTGTTGTTTCCTATGTTCTGATTACATTTTAGCTCGTGTTCAAATTGTTCTGTCCCCGAGAGATCACATTTTGCTCAGTGTATCTCAGAGCTGTAGCATAGCAAAGGAGCAAGGAAATGTTTGAGCCGTGATGGAATGAGCGTTTACATAGAAGCCACTGTCTGAAGACAGCTGGCTCTTTCTCTCCTTGTTCTGGGTTCAATCTCTTTGCTTTTAGGAAATATAATGTAAACTCTCTAAACCAAAAAGTGTATTTTAATCTCATCTTTAAAAGGCTATATAGGGAAGTCCTAATAAGTAGAGTCTGATTACTGTCGTTGATCTCGTTTCACTGTCAGACTTCGTTTCTGTCTGAGGACCAGCCGTCTTCAGGTGTCTGATGCAGTATGACTAGAAGGTGACTCAGGCGATTCTTTTATTTGCCTGTGAACTAGATCTTGGTGAAAACGCAATGCTTTAAATTGTTGGTAGCAAATCATTTGGCTTCTGGCATTTGGTAGCTTTGAAAAATTAATGTGGATTTGTTGAATCGTGGCCACTGTGTGTTTTTGGGAAAGTTGTTGATTTGTGGCTCTTTCCCCACTGTGTGTCCTAGAACGGTAATTCAGGATCATCATCCATTTTGTCCTTAGTCATTTTCTTGAATTTCCTCTCTGTCTCCTGTTCTTTTCAGTTGCCTCTAGGATTTTATTTAAAAGGAAAGAGGGCTGGGGGGCGGAGGTGCTTCTTAAAATCTATTTGTTTTTGGCAATTTATGCAACTTCTTGGGTAAGAGACTTAAACTGAGGAGTTTCTGATCCCCTCCTATTTTGTTTTTTTCTACCTTTCCCCACACCAAGGGCAGAGGGGAGGGGAAACGAGTAGGGGGGAAAAGCCTATACTGGTAAGGATGTCCAGACTTTCTGTATATCCCAGAATGTCTCTAATTTAGGACGCATTCAGTAAAATAAGCAGATCAGTCATCTTGGGTGTCTCTTCATGGGTAAGACTATTAAGTTCGATTCTGAATTTGTCGTCAGGTCTATAGGAGCAGTAGGAATGTTCACTTTAAGTCTAGCTTTGTCCATCAGGAGGACAGTGATGGAAATACTGTCTGCACTGTCCAGTATGATAAACCATTAGCCACATGTGGCTAAGAGCACTTACAATAGGGCTGTTAGAGCTGGGAAACTGATGTTTTAAATTTTATTAATTTTTAAAGATTTTATTAAAATTTTTTTTCAAAATTTTATTAAATTTAAAGATGGCCTCATGTGGCTAGTGGCTACTTTACTAGATAACACAGTTCTAGTCCATAGAGCTATGACTTTCTGAATTTGTCCTCTTTGTCCATGCTTGATTGCTTTCTGGTGCTAGATACGGTCAGTCCTGAAATGAATGTGTTATTAAGAAGGGCAGCAGGGAGCAGACAGTCTGCTCTCTGCAGAGTAGCACATTAACCTGGATTTATAGATAACCTCATTTTTCCTTTCCCACTTAAGTGTTATTGCCTGCTCTATGTATTATCCTTACCAGTTGCTCATTTCCTATGCCATTTTAATGAACTCCTATTTTCTGTATTAACCCCAAAGCATCACAGCAGGATAACATATAGTTTATCTTTTAGTCTAACCTTTTAAGATAAGCAGTCAAGAACTTTGGGTTTTGTTTTGTTTTTTTTTTCCTGCTTACTACATGATCTAATCAGCCAACCATGTTCCAACCTGGTTTTCAGTGTTTAGTATCTTTCTTGTATCATTACCAGGAATTGAGAGGCTTGCTATTTGAATTGAATAAGCTGAATGTTTCTGTCTGGGATTGCCCCGGGTTAATGGCAGTCTCACCTTTCCAGGTGCTCTGTTGCTGGGTTCATCAGTGTGGATGAACACGTCGATCACCATCTGGACTCCCAGCGGTGGCTTCAGAATTACCTGATGGGGTCATACTGTAGTTTGGTTAGCTGGTAGGCTAGATCAACTAGTAAAGGAGAGATTTCTCTCCTGTATAATCAATAGCAATGAATGTTTTACATGCCTGCTTGTTACTGATGTATAGCACTTAGTAATTGGGAATGAGCTGGGCTTATGCTGTTCTTTACACCTCAGAACCCAAGCCTCCATGTAATGCTGCCTGTATAACTTGCTTAGCAGAGATCGTTTAGGTATTGCAGTGACTGAATAGGTTTCAAGGCCAAATTGCCTTATAAGTTTTGCTGAGTTCAGTGTGATAATTTAGTAATATGACATTTCTCCCTAAACCAGCATTTGTTAATTGCTCACTATATGCAGATTACTCTGCTGGCCATTGGAAGGGCTACAAAGATAACTGACATGGTTTCTGCTCTCAGAAGTGTTTAACTGTCTAATAGAAGAAGACATGTATGTACAAATAATGCAAGGATATTAACTGAAATTAATTAAGGGCTGGTAATGTAATGATGTTACCTCTGCATTCATCCATACCTTTCTCTAGACTGTAAGCTGCTTAAGGGCCAAATCTACTCCATGTCATAAGTGCTTTGCAGATGCAGGGAAAACTATTGAATGGAGATAGATTTAACATTCAGAAATAATTTTCACTGGTTCTTAAAGGTCTTACTAACGCAGGGATTCTGAGAGATGTGGATGGTGTTAGAATCATCCTTCCAAGGTAACTACTTTGAAGGAGTGTAGCATTTGGATATATCTGATGTGTTCATTGTATTATTCTCTGCGGCACTGCATTTATCTAACAGTATATTGAGGATTCTGCTGTTTGTTGCTTTCCATCATAGTATGCATCGTTCTTTTTGAAAAAATACAGGTGTATGTTCACAAGGTAGAATCAGTTGACTACTTGTTAGTATCCGGTGAACCCCTTCTGCCCCTCTTGTTAGCTAATCGCAGGTTAGAGTGTAAAGAAATAAAAATTTCTCCTTGAAATCAGGACACAGTAGTTGTGAGGAACTAAGCTCCTCTTCTCTCCTTCCCCCCGTTTTGTTAAAAATGTGTATTGATGGAGCCTCCAAGCGACTCTTCTTTCAGCTTGTCCCTCGTAAAGGTAGAATTTCTGCCAGTTACGGTTTCCAAATGAAATACAATCTACCATTTACTGTCTATATTCCTCTTGGATAGGTGGTGATCTCACAGCTGTAATGTCCTCTTTGAAAGTCATGGGTCTTTTTCTTTTCCAGGCAAGTGATGTGTTAAGACGTGTGAATGCCGTTCTAGAATCATTCTTACACATTTCCTCATTTCTTTTTCTCTTCTGTAAGACTTGGACCGTTGTCTGTTCCCAGTGTTCTTATTTGTGCCATTTGAAGACTAGGCAAAAGGCTTTAGCCATAGAATTTTACAGCTAGTGAGGCAAAAGTATAGTTTAGAAGAACAGTGATACCAAAGATCTCTATTATGAGGAGAAACATCTTAGACAAATTGATTGGCATATCTTTTATTTGTTAAAGAAACCCTAAATGTATTTATTTGAAGCATTTATATTTTTTCAAAAAGAACAGAACCAGGAACAAGGACCACAACATCTAATGTATGGCTTGCACTCATTGGATTCTCCATGAATATCTGTACGTAGCTGTCTTTCAGGCATCCCATTGTTCTAGAAGTAGAAATTAGCATAGATGGATCACTGTGTACTAGGGAAACATGATTTAACTGGTACATAACCACGTTTTTTTGAACAGTGAGCTACTGTATGTAATGGAATTTGTTTCCTATCTAAAACTCTAATAGGTTTAAAACTTGTGTGCCTGTTTCAAGAGCCGTAATTGATCGAGCTAAAATTTAGCTGACTGCTCCAACCATAAGAAGTCAAAACACATATTTGATGAGGCTGTCCCAACTGATAAATCTTAGGCCTTATTTATTGGAAGATTGATGTGAGTATCCATTTCCACTAACATCAGCATGTCTCAAGGAGCATTTAATTTATTGCTGCCAAAAATTTTCCAGGTGACTTGCAGGCACCTTGACCATATTTTTTAGCAGAAACAAATATCTTCACAGCAACAAAAGTAATTTTGAGAGAGTCGTCTTAATGCTCAGATTTTTGTAGGCATTTAGAAAAAGGCCCGTTTATATTGGACCCTCTGTGGGGTGTTAGGTTTAGGTTGCAGATTTGCTAGCTTCCAAAGGCGAGTCATACCACATTATACCTCAGATGCA